CACCCAGAAACCAAAGAACAAACACCACTTTGCCCCAGTAAAGATGCCATCTAAATCTAACCCAAATCAGGAGCCACTGTTCTTCTCCAAGCATTTGGTTTCACTGATGAAACCAATGACATTTAGTGTCTGAGTCATTGCCACCTGAGGCTTAGATTAAGAGAAAGAAAGGTCTATCTTCTAGGGAGGGAAAGAATCCAATTCAGAATCAGCACTAGTCTCCTGTTCCCTCCTTAACATGGTCCTCTATCTGAATTTCCAGGAGTGAGTAAAGCTAGTAATAGTGTACAAGCTGAAGTCAGACTTGGGAACTAGCTGTTTCAATGGTCTGGAGCAAACAGATAATTTTGTGTGGCAATGGGTTCCTCTTTCTCTCTCTCACATTCAAGGATTACAAGGACTAACTGCTTAAGAGCATTTAGCAGGCATCTTTGATGTTGTATAAGGAAAAACTGCATTGGCTGATGTCAGCTGGGAAATTGCTTTAAACAGAACAGCATTTCCCATTCTCATACATAAAGATAGATTCAAGGATGCCATTTGTCCCTAGCCATGACTCAGCTACAATTAAATGTATGAAAAGATCTGTGACTGTAAGTCTGTAATTAACTTAAACACAGGAATTTTTATGACCTCTGGAGGAAAAAAAGAAAAAAAACAAAAAAACAAAAAAGGAAGCTCATTCCTTCCATGAAACATTTCAACTATAACTATTTTCCAGTCAGATGGAAAAGCCTGACATGACAAGTTTGGTAATGCAAGGTATACAAAACTGCGTTGTACGTGAGGAATATTTTTACAGCCATGAATCTTTTTATGGGGTTTATATGATATTTTATCAAGAAAAAATAGTTTCATGATAGATGCTGTAGCTATATTAAAGATAATAAAACTATAATGGTTTAATCAATCAAAATAAACATTGAGTACATCATAAACTATGTGCAATTTAAAATAAATGATGATCCCTGTCCACTAAACCAAACTGTCCAAATGCAGGCAACATGAACAAAACAGGAATTTATATATTCCCCAATATGGGGGCATACCAGGTGTGGCAAAGTAGGGTTACAGTTGTTTGTATGAAAAATAATAATTAATAAATAATCATACAAGAATAAACTGTTTCATGTACTCACAACTATAAACCTCTTTTCCCCATCCTGTATAAATCTCCCAATTTTCACTGTCAACACAAAACTTTCTTCTAAGTGAGTGCCTAAACCAGTAGTATTCCTCTATCAAGATCACATCCTCTGATGAAAAACAAAACAAAACAAAAAAGGCAAGTCCTTCAAGGACCACTCAGGAGTTCCTCGAATAAACACTAATTCTTGCCGTCTCAATGAAACACATGATTTGTTCATTGCAAGGTATCCAGTGCCTCTCATGTGCCTGCTAAGCATGGCCATGGAGCCTGCCCTCAGAGAAATTAGCTGGATAAGACATTGTACAATCATGGCTATGATACTTTTAAAAGCAGTGGTTCTCATTCAGGGACAATTCTGTCCTCTGGGAAACATTTGGCACTGTCTGAAAACATTTTTGGTTGTCACAATTGAGGGAGTGCTACTGGCCTCTAATGGGTAGAGGCCAGAGATACTGCTAAAACTCTGCAATGCACAGGAAAACCCCACAACAAAACATTATTCAGCCCAAAATGTCAACTGTGCCAAGGCTGAGAAACCCTATCCTAAATGTAATGAGGAGCATAAGGGAAGTGCTACAGGTACAAATAAAATGCTAATATGGAAGTTTAGGACTTGCTAAATTAGAATGTCAATCTGCAACATCCAATGACAACTAATTAAGATAAGGGTCCTGTTGTGGAGAATTTTGTAAATCAGACAATGGAGTTTAGACTTGATTCTTTGGCAATATGAAACCAGTGAAGGGTAATGAGATGAAAATGACTCTTTTTAAGATTAGATTGGTTTGGTTGTGGTAGAGAAGTTAAAGTATAGGCATGAAAGCCAGGTTAGTAGGAAGTAAAGAAAGAAACTGATGACGACAATTCAAAGGAATGATCACTAGGACCAGGTAAAATATGGCTTGATAATCCTCAGATTTTGAATCTCAGGATTAAATTTCAAACCAGAGTGTTCAACTTCCAATGACACTTTGCATTTGTTCTTTAAGTAAAATGAATCTTTAACTCACAATGCTTCATGGAAAACTGAAATGAGGAAGTCACTTTTTAAAGGCTCAGTACTGGTTAAAAAAATAATTGTAACTAAACAAAAGTATATGTAACCAAGATAAAGGGTGAGAACCAAGAAAAAGGGTGAGAATAAAGATCACCCCTCAGTATGGAAACAAAACATTTTACAAACTAAGCAGCTAACCTCCTCAAGGCAAAAATATATTCACCAAATCTTAAGAATACCAACATTTCAGTTTGCATGATAGGCTATACTCATTAGTTGCTTCTTGTATGTGCCCTGTTGGAGGATCAAACACATGACCTTGGCATATGGGGATGATGCTCTAACCAACTGTGCTATCTGGCCAGGGCAGGGAATTTCTACAGAACTTTCTTTATGCTGGACTGCAGCAACTCATGCAATAAGCAACCTGCCAATCACAGAATAAAATACAAATGCATTCAAACTAGGCATCAAAAGTCATTCATAACCTGGCAGGCATCTGCCTTTTTTCTGGTCTGATCTTCTGCCACAAACTCCAACTTCCAGTACTTCTCCGAACAACATGAACCCACTCCTGCCTCCACATCTTTGCTCTCGCTGTTCCCACTAGTCGGAATACTTTATTAGACATCTTTGCTTGGATGTGCTGCAAACACCTTGAATTCAATATGTCCAAAATTAATTTTCTTTCCATGCTACTTCCCTAACTCATCACATTACCTATCCTGGTAAATGGTACCACCCAGTTCCCTAAGCCATAAAACCAGGCAATCATCCCAGACTACTTTTATTTCCTCACTCCTATCAGCAATCAGCCTCCAGTTCTATGGACTCTGTGTTTTTAATATCACTCAAATCTGATTCCTCTTCTTTCCACTGTTATTGTCTTAGTTCAAGTCAAGATCATGGCAACAGCTTCCAACCAACCACTGGTCTACTTCCTCATCATATCTCTTCCCACTAGACAGACTGAACTTTCTAAAACATAAATCTGACTACATTATTTTCCTACATAAAACCCTTCAAAGTCTCCCCATAGCTTTCAGGGTCAAATCCAAATTCCTTAGCATGGTTTACAAGATCTTCATATTTGACCCCCACCACTTCCCATTTCCTCACTTCTCCAAGCATTACTAGAATTACAGTCTCATTGAACTAGTCATGTCTTTCATATGTCCAGATTTTCCAGATTCACCACATGGTTAAGACTTAGCCTCCCATTTTCTCCTCAAAGCCTGAAAACCTGGCTCAGATATTACTCCTCTATTGTCTCATAACCCTGAGCTCACAGTACTCTAAAACATTACAAGCCATCCCTCCTCCACTCCATGAGAACAACTGTATTCTTGGCAACCAGGGCCAAGAGCCTCATTTAATATGTGCTTCACACATATTAAAGGCTCAAGAAGTAATTGCATGACAAATGTGCTGGGCTGCCCCACTTTTCACTTTAACAGGGACCCCTACAAAAAACTTCAACTGACACAGTTCTGATACTAACCTCTGCTTTAAAAGGTTGTCATGCTCTCTTCATCGAGCTCACTGCTATTCATCCTTCAAAATTCATCTTACACTTTCTGCAGAAGGGATTTTCCTGAGCCCTGTGTTCCATACTTCCATAGTTGTCTGTTGTTCTTTCCTAAGACTCATCACATTAATAACTACTTTTTAAAAAAAAAAAAAAGGTTTTAGTTACTTATTCTTAGAGGGAAGGGGGAGAGAGAGAGGGGGAGGGAAACTCCATGTGTGAGAGAAACATCGATTGGTTACTTCTCTAACGCGCCCTGACTGGGACCTAGCCTGCAACCCAGGCATGTGCGCTGATCAGGAATCAACCTGCGACTTTTTGCTTTGTGAGATGATGCCCAACCAACTGAGTTACACCGGTCAGGGCTATAGCTACTTCTTAAACACCTCTGCAAATAGTTAGCTCCCTGATGAAAGCCTCGAGCTGGTTGCTTCAAAACTGCATTCCCTGGATGTGGCAGAGTGCCTGAGACAGAATAAACACATTTGCACTAAATTTAATTCTGTGAGGTGAATAGAGATCTCCACTCAAAAGACTTTTAAATAAATGACTTAAAAATAGGTTAAATAAGGCCTCTATAGCCTCTAGCTGTGAGACGAGACCAAAGCTGAGCCATCTGATTTCAGGACCAGAAGTATGCAACACCTTCAATGAAGTTAACTTGACTATTCAGAATAAGAGCAACAGACTAGGTGGAAGAGAAGATTCACTGAGCGCAAATACATGAACCTGCCCCACCTGCCTCTCTCTTTTTTAAAAACTCCCCAGGCATTCCCAACACGCCGCATTACAAAAAAGAAAAAGGAAGTTCCAAACAGCCTTTACCTTGGTGGCCTTTCACTTGCAGTTGCCCAAGAAAGGACACCTACCGAAAGACCCCTCCAAGACGGAGAGGTTCCCTGGACATGAACGTGAGAAGGATCTGGGGCTTAGATTTAAGTAACTTAAGTCATTATTCTAATTATTGCCCTCATTCGCTATGTGATCGTAGACCAGCCTCTTCTTTCTGGGATCAATTTATCCATCCGTGCAATGGTTCCTTTCAGTTAGGACACCTTAGAAATCAGGCTTCTGCTGAGGATGATGACCGGGTCTGAGAAACCAAGCGCAAGGGCCTCCCCAGTAAACCCCGATTCAGTTGGTCACCCCGGCCCCACCTCAAGAGACCGCGCCCAGGATCCCAGGTCGGCCTGAGGGCCTCCGCCCCAGCCCCCTCAGCAAGGTGCACCACGAGCGCATAGGCCAGAAACGTAGGCCATTAACCGCACTAGGGGTCAGTGGGTCGCGGAGGGGATCCTAGTCCCTACCCGGCAGCAGACCCTCACCTCGGAGCTCTCCCTCACCTCCGGACAGCGAACAGGCGCTCTCCACTTCCGGCAAGAACCGCCCAGCAACCTCCGCGCGACCCACTTCCGGGCCCTCACTGGGCGCGGCACCCCCACCGGAAATGAACGGCCGGCTGAAACAGCTGTCTATAGAAGGGCCGGAGAGGAAGTGTGTCTGACCGGCTCGTGACTCCACCCCCTATTCACCACACCCGGGAGACTATTCGCTAGCCTGGAGGGCACAAGCAAAAGGCCCCGCCCCCAGGACGGAAGCTACCCTGGGGGCGTGCTCTAGGCTAGTCACGCCTCCTTCAACCGTAAGAGACGCAACCGATGAGACCAATGAAGGGACGAAATTAAAGGCTAAACTCCACCTCCGGAGAAGGAGGACAGGTGAGTGGTTAACTCTCCTATCAGTTTGGGCCCAATGGCAAAGGCCGGTTCCTTTTAACGGCGGTCCGAAAGGGGTCTGAAAGGGTAGGTTTTTCTGAGTGACGATAGAGGCTAAATTCTGCCGCCCTCTTTGCGTACCTCGGGGTTCCTCCTTTGTGACGTAGAGAGGTCGTTGGCCTTAAACAGTGTGCTGGGAGGGCCTGCAGAAGCTGGGTGTAGGGAAAGGGTGGGTGAGCGTGGGGGGCTCAGCCTCGGGTTTCGGGGCGTGCCCGCCACTGCCTCGCTCGGTTGCTCTGCCTGCGCTGGGTAGGTAGAAGCTCGCCCCACTTCCTGTTTGTTCGGTGCTATCTGTGACCATAGATGGTCAGGTCTGCGACCTCACCGAAGCTTCCGCCCCGCGGTTTTGGAGTTCTTCCTCCGGCGCGTAGGGTGTGGTCCCTGAGAATAAGGCGAGCGGAATTAGAGAAGGTGCTGCTCCACTCCACTCAAACGCGGCCTGTGAACCAGTGTCTCCCCATGCTGGGCGTGCCCAGACAGCTGCCACTCGGTTCACGGAAGGTTCTGCACAGTGGCTGCACCCCGCAGGGGAGGCTTTGCTTCCTTGCTTCTGTAGCCTGGGAATCAGCTTTGTTGTCTCAAGGCTAACATTTTCCAACCAGTGATTATCCTCCCATAAAGATTTATTTCCGGGGGGGAGTAGGCGAGTTCTGTAGCTCCCATTCCTAAAATCGAACGACTGTGAGAGTTCCAGTTTTCTAGTTGAATGCAGGCGTTATATGCTAGAGTCACTGATTCAACAAATAGACTTATAAAATAAGAACTACCATTTACTACACACTCAGTACATACCAGGCGTGTACTGAATGCTTCAAGTGCATTTTCATTTAATCCTAATAGAAACACTCTGTTAAGTACAATTATAGCCTCCAGTTTTTAAATGAGAAGCTGAATGAATTATTTGCCAAGATCAAAAAGTAGCTGTTGTACCTTTGAAAGGAACACATCTGACTCTAAATCCCATGAACTTAACCTATATATAGACCATACTGAAATCATTTGGGGCAGTTTTGGAGTAGTGTTGCCTCTCCTCTGAATAAGGAGACATCCTGGGTTTTTTTAGTCCTGGCTTAGGCCTTTAACTAGGGGCTCAGACTTTAATCACGTTATCTGATTTCTCTGATCCCGGGCCTCTTCCCAATTTTATGACTCCTAGTATGTTTAAAAGAAAAATGATAAGACAAAATATTGTGCAAAAATTGCAGATTTTAAATGTTTACATTAAAAAACACTGTCACAAGCACACACACACAAAGTTTGACTTTATTCAGACATAACATCAAAAGGTGGTATTTGAGTGCTTCGCATATGTTCAACCAGCAAATAGCCTCCCTGTCCTTTATTGTAATCACCACTACAGTTAGACCTTCTAAATGCCTCAGTTAGAGTTAGGAAATACCTAGACTGCATATGCATCCTAGAGAAAGAGGAGAGACAGGAGGAAACAGGAAGGAGGAGGAAAAGAAGAAAGAGAGCTTCTCCATCTATAAAATTGAGATATTCATAAGGTTCTAATAAACAAGGAATAACTTAATGTCAAACCACTTGTTTTTTTGTTTCTTTTTTTTATGTTTTTTGGTTTTTTGTAAAGTGCATACGTGAGTGAGGCACAACTCCTGCCCCAAGAAACTTCTAATCTTTTTTTTTAAAGATTTTATTTATTTATTTTTAGAGAGGGAAGGGAGGGAGAAAGAGAGAGAGAGAGAAACATCAATGTGCGGTTGCTGGGGGTCATGGCCTGCAACCCAGGCATGTACCCTGACTGGGAATCGAACTTGCCTCACTTTGGTTCACAGCCCGCGCTCAATCCACTGAGCTACGCCAACCAGGGCCAGAAACTTCTAATCTTTTAAAGATTCTAAACATGTACTTAAATAATTCTAGTGGGAGGCACTTTAAGAGTATCTGTCACTTTTATTTATTCATTCATTTATTTATACCAGAAAAAAATTATTGAGTTCCTCCTTTGTGCTAGGCACCCTGCTACTTTGTAACAGGCACAACTAGGGTCACAGCAGTAGACAGTCAGACGTCACTGCCCTCGTGGAGCTTCTGGTCTATTGTGGAAACAGGTAGGTATTGCCATCTGGGGTGGTTATCAGAACAGAGGCTGACTACTGGCTTCTAGCTTTTTCCTCCTTACTGATCTTATCCAGTGCCCATTATCCAATGCCTCATACATGGGGGGCTCTCATCAAGCACATGTTCAATGAGACCCTTGAATTCAGAATAGTCATGTACTGGGCTGAGATAGATGGGTAGAACATTGCAGAGCAAACATGAGTGGATATGACAATCTGTGACTGGCTGAGGTGAGAGATTCCTGTAGGAGAGGAACAGGAGATATGCCATGAAAAAAAAAGTAAACAAAAGTTGAGCAAGCTGTGCCAGGCAGGAGAGGTGAAACCTCAATGTGAAAGCAAGGAAGACTGGTCAGATTTCATTTGGAAATACAATTCTAGCTGTGGTGTAGGGCAAGGGCTTGAGTAAGCGATAAAATAAAAAAGGCAGGGAGACTTGTTACAAGGGAGACAGATACAAAAAGTTATCGAAGGCCTGAATCAAAGCTATGGTTTGGGGATGCAAGAGAGGGGACAATGCAGAAGACACCATTCTTATAAAGGGAATAGTGAGGAGGATAAGGAGTAAGATGAAGGGAATGATTTGAATATACTCCCATTGAATACTACTTGGGCAGGTCTCACAATCCTAATTATTTCAGCAATTATAATATTTTCTTTATAAGTACCTTGAGGTTAGAGTCCTTGTCTCCCTGGCTTAAAATTTATACTCAGTAGTTATCTATGGGAAATAATGACTACCTGGAAAGGGTAAGAGGGGCAAGGGGGCAGCATGGGTAAATGCAAGATGGGAGGGAGATTGGATCTGGGTTTTAGAGTTTCGAGCCTTAGACTTCCAAATCTAGCCTTGGGAAGAGATAGGGAAAGGAGTGCAGTTAATCATTTTGCAAACAAGAACTGACAACAGAGTTGATTGGCTCGCACATGCCCTCTCTTCATGTACTTTGCCATTTTCTCATTTTGCCTAGATTTCAGCACATTTCTAAGCCTGCAGAATTGCTTTGTCTCTGAGAGTGCCACCAAAGGTTCTTCCTTATCTCTCAGAATTTCAGACACAGAAGTCTGGCGGTTCGTCTGGAGTGCTTCCTGGGCTGGCACAGAGGATTGCCTGCATCTGTGCAGCCTGGCACAGAGCCTGTCTGCGTTTGAGCAGATCCTATATCCCCCTGCCAGAAGGGGCTGATGACAGACAATAATCTGTGTAAGCCCATCTTTCTTCCCCTCCTTGGCTGGGCCCCAGGCTCCAGCCTGTCTTAGGGCCTCAAATCCAAAAATTACAAGTTGGCAAAAGGAATATTGGCAATATAATGTAGTGGTTAAGTTAAGATCTGGCTACTGCCACTACTGTTCCATAACAAGAAAGGTTGCCCACAATGTCTGCTTCTTTATATCATTGCCTTTTGATTCCAAGTTGTAGCCTGTGCCCTTGGCTGCAAGTAAGACTAGATAAATCAGTTAGGAACCTGGATTTTTTAGTGGCAGATAATAGAAAACTTGACGGTGGTGACATTTAGAACAAAGCATATTTTTCTCATATACAAGAAGAATGGAGGTAGGCAGTTTTACTGGCTCAATAATATCAGAGTTGATATCTCTGATGCAGTTTGACTTATTCTTATAGTTGCAAGTTGACTGTTGTAGCCCATGCTATCCTATCATGTTAAGGAAAGAAGGAGGGGAAGGGTCAGTATCCGAATCTAGAAAGCTAAGTTTTCTAAGGAACTCCACAAACCATATTCTGCTTTCTGTCTCATAGCCACATAGCCAGAACCAACAGTCAACAAATATTCCAGCTTCCTTATTGCTCAGAGGGACACTTCCAACGTGTTCATTTCACACTGTTTCTGGAAGTCCCCGTAGGGACTGAGCCCATGGTTATCCACAGCAGTAACCCACCCATTAATGAACCTTTATTGGTTTTTCTGTCTTCCCCACTTCACTTGTCCCAGGGAACCCAAACTAAAGAGGATGGGATTGACTGAGTTTGTGACACTAGGAAAGTGACAATAAGCAGTGCTAGCTTTAATGGTATAAAGTGCAATCTCTCCCCATTTGAGATACTGCCCAGATATATGAAAGGGATACAGATGCTGAATGTCCAATAAGAATGATAGAAGTCCACAGTAATAAACCCCTGGGACTGGCCAACATCATCACATACTATTCTTTCTATACTTACACTTCAAAAAAATGAAACAAAACAAAACTCATAACTAAAACAGCCCTCCTTTTCCCTAAACTGTCATCATTACGCGCATCTCCCACCCCTAAAACAGGAATCAAATGAAGTCTCGTCAGTTACATGATCCAGCTTCAAGTCCAGGATCGCTGAAAATGTTCATTTTCCCTCCAGTTCCATAATGATCCTGCTTCAGTGTTCTTCAGTCTCTGGATTGAACTTTAGAGTCAACCACCAAAACACCACACCCTACATACATAGGGGACGGAAAGGGAAGAAAATTAGCTATACAGTATGTAACTATTGCACTGCCGTGGCGAGAAACCTTTCTCCAGCTGTCGCAAGGCTTTAGTTAATAGTTTTGACTTCACATATCCACTACCCATTACATGCTCTCTTTGTCTTCAACCAGCACCTCCTTTCCTCAGGGTCATAGTGATGG